GGACGCTGATCTAATGCTAAACCAAATCTCTTGTAAATAACAAGCCTTAATCTTTTTTTTCGAACTGTTTAAGTGTTCGGAGACCGTGAATCACAAGAAAACAAAAAAATAAATCGGTCAAAAAGTCCGAAACTTTTGATCGAATGAGATTAATTTAAACTCAGGGGACGCACTAGGCCAGGTTATTGAAGCTGGGCAATTTGTTTATTAGATATGATATAAGGTTCAATTACAATACTCTACTTTTTAATTGAGTCGTTATTACAGCCATTACTTTTATGTCACGCAGACCAAAACACTTGTATGTTGAGGGAAATGGCAAGCAAACTCTTAGTTACCAAGCAAAGAAAGATATCTGGATTATTATCATTATTATAGTTTGGAGAAAGTTCATTGGAATCGGTTACAAGAAATAAGGGTCATAAATCCTCTTTGAAAAGCCAACAATTTTGGAAATGATACTTTTGAAAGCAAATCCTTTAGAAACTCTCGAGATAATTCAATTTTGAGACACAACCTTGAAGTTTTAAATTGGTAAAAAATGACATTAATGTCACGCTGAGACCTTTCAGGGCACTGATAGCCAGAAAAGAGCCATATTGGATAACCTTTGGTCAAGCCGAGTCTGCTTGGAAGCTCATTTTCTGCAATACTTGATTCACCAGGAAACACTTGATAACAAGAACGGCAAAAATCGTCACCATATTATGTCTTTTTGATTCACTCAAACGATCCTTAAAATTAACCTTACCTGGTTAGGAATTTTGAAATGGCACCAAAAGTTTCCCTATCTTAGTACATCCCTATAAATTATGAAAATATACCATCCTTAAAAAGTTTGTGGTAAACTTCTAGCTGTAAACAACTCGTCATAACCTAGTCTAAATTGGCAAAAAGTTTTCTAATCTCCTCATCCATACGTTTGTTATGATTTTATATACATTGCAAACTGCGTTAAAATCCTGACAGCTCAACATTTAAGTCGGTGATGCGGCCCTATAATGTATTAAACTCTGTTTTACTTTATGCAAAACGAGGTGCCGAATGAGAAACAGCTGACTAGACAGTAACGCCCCCCCCCCCACTAGAAACTTTTGTAAAACTACACTGGTATCTGCAGTAATGAAAAATAACTCATCGCTGCTTGAGAAGCTACTGAATAAAGAATTGAGACCTATTGTAGAAACTTAATACTGTAACTTGTCTGTTTTCAAGCCAAAGCAGAGCAAATTTAATAACTTGCCTGTATTTAAGGCTGAGCCTTGAAATTTGAGTGGCATGTGTGTATTCAAGTCTAATTTTAAAAAATTAAGCACTCTGTGTGTATTCATGTCTAAACTTCGAGACTTAAATAGCTCTTGATTGTTAAAGCCGAAGTTTAGCAACTTGAGTTAACTTGACTGTATTCAAGGCTAAGCTTAGCAATGTTTGTACCTTAATGACAGCTTAAGACTGTATGACAGCTTAAGCTTGAAAATTTTATTCGATCTCTCATACAAAAGGGACTTTTCAAAATGTATACCTAGTTAGAAATCGATTCGATTTTTGATTAGATCAAAATTAAGCTACATTTTTAGGAAAGAGGAAAGAAAGTAGATGTAAAAATCTATTTTTTTCAAGATAAGTGTTTCTCTTTTCTCTTTCAAGACTCTTTTTCGAAAATTGAATTAGCCTCAAATAGATATATTTTGTTCGAATGTAAATATATCTCGGCTTCCTAAAATCTAGAGGTTTGGGGTAGTTGGTTATAAGTAATACAAAAATCAGGACACATTTGTAGTCTTGAAAATTTTTTCACAGCAAACTGTCTTGGAAATGATGCTGCAAATTTATTTCTAAAATATTTTCTCTCGCAGTGAACGCTCTTGCTTTTTTGTATAACTAAAGTATTACTTGACGATGTCCAATACCCAAGTCATCAAAGGGGCCTTAAAGCAAGGGAACCTTATTCATTTACCTCTTTTTAATGCAAATTCGTTTATCAAGCTGGCACTTGACCTCTATTTTTGCTGCAGAAAAAGAAAACTGCACCAAGGCCACAGATTTACACCTTTCAAACCTTAAAGGTTAATTTGAAAGCTAACGATGATGCATGTGAGTCCATGGTTATGCCAACCAACCACAAACGCTGCTGTACATAATTCAGCAAGACGCAAACAACCACGAACAATAGTTGCATTTTGGGCCACACGTAGTTAATGTAGTAGCCTGTGCAAAATGCATCATGAGTCAGAAATCACAGAAAAGTTAACTAATTTACAGCTCTTCAGTCCAAATTAGTCTTGGAAACACAACATAACCTGGACACTATCCCATATTCTTATACTTGAACTATAAGGGCCTCTAATAGAGAAGATTGGTACCTTTTTATAAGCAATATTTCTAATTTTAGACTCTACAATATGACGTTTGAATTATATATGGCTTATGAAATGTGAACTCCCTTAAAATGTGGAAGGGATTTTGGAATTATTGTTTGCATTCAAGGTAAATACATATCATCTTTAGAAAGCACAGTTGTGAGAAGAAATTATCATTAAGAGACAAGGTCGTAGTTAAGAAAAGAAAGGGATGTGTTATATCTCATTCAAGACTTTTTAGGGGAAGACTTTCAACATCGTCCTCCAGACCGATTTACACATTTATAGTGAGCCTTGGTGTGATGCTATGAGCGATGACAAACTATGGATTTATCTGGCACATTGAAAATTCAGTTCAAACTAATTCTTAGCAAGCCTGACAATACTCTCTCTATTCCGGATAATGCTCGTGTGGCCTTTCAATTGAAACAAGATAATGTTTAATGCATTAGATAATGCAATTTCTTTTGAAAAAAAGATTCTAGGAAAATCTTCATCTTCCCGCGGATGTATCTCATAATACTTCCTACACCTTTTAAAGGCTGATGACCATTATATTGGTTTTGGTGTTTTAGGCTAACGCATTTATAAAGAAATTTGATTATAAGGAGAAGCGGTGAGCAAATTACATGATTAGTTTCTGAACTGACCTCCCAACTTACGTCAATGAGTTTAAGTCAATGCTTTACATTATCAATAAGCTTTGTGCTTTTGTACTTGTTGAAGCTACAGCCTTAGTTTGTGTATCTATTTGAATGATATAAGCAGAAGAGGTCCCCCAAAATACTTAGTAGCTTCAAGGGTTATATAAAACACATTCTTCCATTGCCATTTTTCATAAGAAAATAAATTCGATGAGACGATGCATGTGGAATTAGTCATTAGTCAGTTTTGACGGCCAAATTCCTCAATTCTGGCCGTTTCTCAAAGCTGTTGGCCGTCACAAATTGATTTGGCCGAAACACCAAAAGATGCCGAAACAGCAAAAGTTGGCAGAATTTTGGCCGCATGTTGAAAGCCCCAAAAATGCAAAAAAACTTCAACTTTAGCACAAATGGTACTCAGCATTTTGTTAAAATAATCTCAAAATTGAAAGTAACGAAGCAAGAAACAAAGAACAAATAACAGAAAATTGAGATTGAAAGCAGTTTGGAACATTTGTAAGAATTTAAGCCAATTTTGACTACACTATTACTCCACAGAATTAGCCAAAATGTAGCTTTTTTGTATATTTTGTTTGGCTGGCCCAATTTGGCCGTCAAGTGTAGAATATTTGACCACCAACCATACCAAGCATCTGGCAACCCTGGTCAGAAGAGCAACATATAAAAAAGGCAAAGCAAAACACGATTGAGCGGCCTAATGGATGCTACTTCAATGTCCCATTTTAGCGAAAAAGCTAAACGAAGCTTAATAAGTGATGCATCGTCACTTGCTTTCTTGTTTCTTTGAAAACTTGTTTCTATGAAAAGATTAAGCAGATTAAGTATACGATTTTGTGTCAATCTTGTTGGATAAGAATTCTTTGAACAGAATTTAATAACTTAGAAAGTAACTTTTTATAAACATTGAAATGCTAGATCTCGGAAATGATATATTGCCTTTGAAGTATGACTCGAGGATTTTACGTCATTTCGCAGACAATCGGTTCCTTAGAAGTATGGGTCATGCGTATTAGAAGTTCCATTGAAGCAATCCAGGTCTTCTAGCACTGCTGTTCAGATGGTTTTGTGGGGGGGGGGGGGATGGTTGGCAGTAACAAAAAAAAAGAAGATTGTTTGGAAATGTTCAGGGGTGTGCGATGTTAGTAGCTGACCAAAAAGCTTGCAAAAGTTATTTAAGATATTCAAGGAATGTTTGCTTTTTTCAAAGCCATTTTCATATTCAAGGAAGCTAGAAAAAGCGATTATCTTTTGCATTTCGAAAGTATTAACTCACATTATCTGTGTATTAATTTTGAAATGGCATTCCTTTTTTCACGGGTTAAACAATTGGAAAGGGAGCAAATGATACTAAGTGCCCCCAGATATCCAACTTTCTGCAATTCTGATATCTTTTTTCACAGGAGACCTAAAGAAGGAAGCTTTGACAAAAAGAGAATCCCGGATTTTGGAAGCTCAGAAAGGTTCTTCTCGTACAAACATCTATAATGTAAATGGTGAGATGATGTGACAGCAAAACGTGTATAGGGAGTTCGAAGCAAACTAAGATATTAGGGAATGAGCAAATGCGAATAGTTCAGTTATCTTGAAATAAAGAAGAAAATCTTTAGGGACATCAGGTATTGCTGAAACTGGGGGTTTGGAGCTTTTCGTGACATCAGCAGGTACAATTCAAAATACTGATGATTTTGAACGTGTTTGAGGCATGTCCCCTTTTTTGCCTCAGGAAGGGAGGCAGCAACTTGCCTGGTAATTTCGCTAGATAAACCTCTCAGGGTTACTGACAGAGACCCAGTGTAGAGACCGCATAGCGCCTTCTTTGAGGTATCCGGAAGAGAAAGACAGTCGATTAATCAAGATTCACTCATTTTGACCCCCTTAGCCCAGTAAATATTGATACACAAATCTTAAAATTTCTCTTCACTCATCAGGGGGTACAACGCAAGGATTGGAAGCTCCTATATTTTGTCAGAATTGACACAGAGTCTTCCGCTTTAAACAATATCATGTCTCGCGTATTCTGCCATTCACAGAAACTAATTGAAAGAAAATTGTAAATAGAAGCCTGACCACAAGTAAGCTTGGGTATTCCAGCCGATGTACTTGCTCTGTCTCAGTCAGTCTTATAATATCGATGCACCGGTACGGATAGAGCAGCATGCAGTTTAAACTTTTGGCTCATTTGCTGTCGTTTACGTTAATTTCGAGCGTGGTATGTCAAGGAGTAGCTACCAATGGCACAAAAAGCGACCAAGGTATGTCTGACGCTTTGTCGCACATTTTTAACATTTTGTGTTGCTTTGTAAATCTGATATATTTTGCCAGAAAAGCAGCACCTTTTTGATAAATGTTCGTGATAGTCGTTGTAAACGGTCAAAATTTTAATTGAAAGACTAAAGGCCGCCTTTTCTATTACATAAATCCCTCGATTAAAATACTTTTAATCTTTGGCAAAGCAAAACTCAAAACCCTTTTTGTACGAGAAGTTTAAAACTCGGCATGAGAAAACCAAATATCTTTGCGAAGCTATACGTGTTAAAAACACGTCTGCCACTGGCAGAGCTAAGACAATGCATAATATTACGAAGGGTCAAATATTGACCCGCTCTCAGTATCTTATTCTTTCCCCAAGTACTGATACCCATTGTTTGCCACACTCGTGCCTCCCTAAAGTATTGTAAAGCTGTGCATAGTTGCCGGGGAATAAGACTTCCAAAGAAATACCTCTAGTAAAGCCTCAAAACCAACGCGGATAACAGTGAATTTTTTTGTAAAAAAGTTGTCCTCAACAACATCATTGCACGAATAATGCAGTAAACCACATTTGTTGCACTCGAACCCGCAGTTGGTTTATCAATCAAAGAAATCAATGGCACTTACTAAGAGATTAAAAGTGGTCTTTGCATCCGTATTTGCTTTTTAAGAGCGGACACGCTGTATGGTTTAGAAAACTGAAAATATCGATCGTGATAAAGAGCAGCTTGTTGTCAAAATGCCAATTCGAAATGCATGCAAAAGACAAGGGGGCACGTCAGTGCCCCCTGGTAAGAGGGCTAGCTAAAGAAAAGTTTGCACAATTAATGTCATGAGAGGAACATGCTATATTATGATGAAGCGAGACTGAAAAAAAATTATACTCAAATTGAACTAAAAAGCAAAAGTTTTTTAATGTTTTTAATGCCCATAAATGGTTCTTGATATACTTTATTTTTATTTAATCATTTTTCTAAACAATTGGTGCTAATCAAAGGTTTATCTTTGTTTTTACCAACATCGTAAGAAATTTCTTCAAGGGTGTTTAAAGAAAGATCGAAATATTTTTAGTTGGCCAGTCGTTTCATTTTCATATGTGGCTAAATCCCGTGAAACAGTTATGCTTTATAGCCTTGCTTGTTTGAATGAATACGACACCGGTGTACCAACAGTCACCTAGCTTCTTCTTCTTTGCGCACTTTGCAGTATTTGAAAACAATAAATCCGATATTATTAAATAAGTGAATATTGTTAGATTTCCTGCCCAAATCTTTTTCACTGTTGTGGCTATCGCATTTTTCTGTTATGATGAACGATACGTAAATGCCTTTTTGTGTAACAACTTAAATTACTTTCCGCTTAACCAGAAGGGAAGCTGTGTTTGTTTTCCATTCAATACCTATTGTTTCTAAAAAATATCAGAATCTCTGATCACGTTTCGCATTTCGTATTTCTACTGCTCCTGGATTAAATTGATACATTCGTTAATTAACTGTCTTTCTCAAGACCTAATTATTTATAATTTTGTTACGTAATACAACTTGCTTCCTAAGTTTCATTCATTTCTGCTATTATCCACAGCCCTAACGAGAAAGACTCGGTGTTTTAGTGGCTAACCATATTTTACAGACTATGTGTGCTCATTGACATATTTTTATTTCTTTATTCGAAATGTTCGAAAAATTAGACTGGTTCCCAAACTATCTAACGAAGAAAAACACACTGTTTAGTGAATAGAACAGGGCGGTTCTAAGTAGCTACTCCGAGTTTTACGCTTGATGCGATCATCAGGCAACTTTTACTTCAAGAAAATACATAAAACCGTCGTTATCAAGAAAGAAATATGGCTGCCTACCGAGGATGTCAGAGCCTCTCAATATGGTCGTGGCGAACAGTAAAAGCGGAGAAAATTGGAGGATAGGAAAGAGTCTCACATCTCCCAACCTTTCTGTTCGATTTCCTCCTTTTACTGTTGTTTTTGAAGCTCTGATACCCATGTTATTGAAGAAGAACTTTTTTATCCTGAGCACATTTGTTATATTTTTTTCAAATTTTAACCAATCCTTGAATCAGTTATTTGTCTTACATGATTTCTTTGAATACTTTGTGTCAAGCATGATATTTCATTGTTTCTTTGTTTTTTCTTAGTTTGAAACCGTTGGTCTTTGCCTATTGACCGACAGCCAGTATAGGTTTTTGTAACTAATCCGTTCACAGTATTTTCTAGATTTGACGCCCGGAGGCGCCTATTAACTTACGGAGACTTTCAAGGGAAACTCCACGGAGAACTATACTTCATCTTTATAGGCCAGGAGGGAATGTGGGGTGGGGCATCAATCTGCCGGGGACGAGACTCAAACTCAGAACCATCTAGAAGACTATTCACTAACCACTAAACTATCTAAAAATAGCTGACCGAAACCTCGACAGCTCTGCATATCTTTAGAGCATTTGTTTTTTCCACTGTTTAAAATAAGTCAAATATGGGTTTTGAAATATCTCATTGATATTGATTAGACTGTACTTTTCGCTCTAAAATTCTATACACTTTAGGATTTATTAGTTATTTTCATGACAGCAGCAGTGATGTATTCACGGGGCTAAAGTCTTTATGATGCACGGTTATTGTCTTCGAAGCAAGTAAACTGAGCCTGTCGAAATAACCCTCTCAAAAGCCCCCCATTGCCGGGTCAGGGCTCGCCGATTTAGAGGCAGCTGTTTCAGTAAGAGGACCATAAAATTGAGAAAATGATAGGGTTAAAAATCTTTCTAACCTTGTAGATTATAAACAAATTAGGCAAATCAAGCCGATATCTGTATGTTTGAAAGTTATATTTCAGTTTACCTGTACGCTATTGTAACTGATTTGACCTGATAGAAAAATACAAAAAATATCAACATGATACATATAATTTAGCCAAAAGCAATTTGCCTTCATGCCGTTCCATTGGAGCTGGCCCCATTCGATCAGCTATGTCGTGCCATTACTTTTTTTGTCTTAAACAGAGCAGAAGTATAGAAAATACTGTTGTCAAATTAGGTCCTGGACTACTTGGGACTTCAAATAGATGTCAGCTCAGAAATCCATCCCCTTCCATCGGTCAGACGCTCAAATATGATGCCGATTGTCAATGTTGACAGGGGCGGGGATCATGCCAAACACTTACATTGCTGCAACTTTCTTGGTTTGTCCCACTGCCTTGCATTGACTTTCTTTCGTTCACCTTACAGTCGATATCATGATTGGGAGGAAAGTTGAATTTCAAATACATTGAATGTCGAGTGAACTGAATCACAGAGCAGAGTTAGATATCAAATTTCAAACGATATATCACAAGAGAATCGACAGAAAATACTGAAAATCGCTATTTGCTACATGATTAAGGTAATCCCAGCACGAAAGACTTTCGTGGGAAAAATGAAAAGTTTTGTAAGGTGGAATGAAATTTGCCCGTACTCGTTCAATAAAGACGATGATGTAGACAGTTCTTGAGCCAGTGCCACCTTGTAGGAACTGGAACAGAAATCCCGTTTGTAAGCAGCTGTTCTCCGGTAGCACAATCTTAAAATTTTTGTTTTTCATTATTTGCATCTACCAACGCTCTACAAAGGGCCTATCGCGCAAACCCAGCTGTGAATACTAACAGAGGGCCTCCAACATTCAGCACTGACAATTTTATAAACAAATCTATGCCCTCAAACCTCGAATTTCCATCTTGTCTTAGCCCCCCACCATTGATTTAACAAGCCTCTACCCTCAAATATGCCCTCAACATGACAATTTTTTATAACACACGATTTTTTTCTATGATACGCATAATCGAAAGAAATAAAAAAATCTCAAATAACCGAAGCATTTTCAAAATATTCTAAAGTCCTGTTGTTTTTCCAAATGCTTCATTGCTCTAAGTGATACAAAAAGAGCCACCCTAGAATTAGCCACTACCCTCGAATTAGTTACCGCTCTCGAACGATCCCTCAATCTCGAGTCAACCCCCAACCAAAGATTTCCCAGATGCTGAATTGAGGATTTACGTTAGGTTAAAGCGACTTAGGATATTTGTTCTTCGAATCAGAGCTTTGGTCGAGCAATATCGTGAAAAGTTATTAATGTATCTAATATTAAGTGGGCATAATATATAACATTTTAAAAGGCTGTTTTATTTCCTTTTATAATTAGAAAAGAGAAAAATCACAAGCAAGTAACCAAAGTTTTCATTATTTCAATATATTGTTCCGTTCCAGTCTCTTGTTTGCTGGCAGATTGTTCGCGTGATTGGGAGTAAGATCACTGCCTTCCACCAAGGCGAGGTAAAGTGTTCCTGCGTAGGCTTGGTCGCAGCGCACGTTAAGGTTGAAGTAGAGGTCGGCCTTTGTTTAAATTACCCCCTTTTCTCCAAGATATTAAATTACCATCTTTCCATCGGCAACAAAATTGTCTTGGTGTTCTGATAGCGTCGGCGCTTAATGAATTTGTAATTATTACTTGGTAAAGTTAATATTTAAGATAAAACATTGAACGGCTGGCATTATCGGGCCAAAGTTACTGTCATCTGTAGACAGGTGTGCTGGATTTTTAAAGCCTACTTCTACGGTGTTTTGACTGATATATAGAGGTTTGGGAAAATGAATTTGTTTGTTGTTTGTAAGTGCAGGGCCAACGCCACGAATTTCAATGTGGAAGGTTCTATACGTCAAACTTGAATCTAGTACTTCAAACAGGGCCTCTTTGGAAATATTTTCGCTCACGAAAAAGTGGAGGGGGCATGGTTGTTATTTGGAGGTCTTAGTTTCTGGGATGTGTCCGTTATTGGCAAGTGTTCGTTATTGGCAAGATTTACTACACAAGATACGAAATCTGAACCAGATGTATGTAACGAACTGTCGAAAACCTGAGATTCAACAATGGCGACTGGCTCCAGAACTAAGTGAGGCTGTTCCAAGCAGTTTCGGCCAAGTGAAATTGATCATGTAACACCAGTAGAGATTATATGTATGCATC